AATTAATAATTTCTAATATAAATAAATTAAAATTCAATCAATTAAAAAAAATAATCTAATTAATTAACTAAACATAAAAAAAACCCGATTAATTAATTAAACATAAATAAAATAAAATTAATTAATTTTAAAATAACAATTAATTACCAAGTTCTAATATAAATAAATTAAATTTCAACCAATTAAATAAAATTAACCTAATTAATTAATTAAAAATAAATAAAATTAAGTTAATTAATTCTAATTCTAACGAAATTAAATTTAAAATAACAATTAATTAATAGTTTTTAATATAAATAAAATTAAAATGCAACCAATTAAACAAAATTAATCTAGTTAATTAATTAAAAATAAATAAAATTAACTTAATTAGCTAAAAATCAATTCGATTAAATTAATTAACAAATTTACCTAACAATTAACAAAATTTAACAATTTAATAAATTAATCAACAGATTAACCTAACAATTTAACAAATAAATCAATAAAGTAACAATTAAATATATATATATATATATATATATATATATATATATATATATATATATATATATATATATATATATATATATATATATATATATATATCAAGCAATTAAACTTAAACTTAAAATTAACATAACATCTACAACAAATTACGAACTTTAATTAATAAAATAAAAAAGAGAAAAAACTTACCTAATTTGAGTGAAATTACACCAAGAGAAGGGAAGGAAAAACGAGGGTTTTTTGGGAGAAAAAAGCTTGGAGTGAGTGTGGATTGATGGAGAGTGGAGGAATAGATTTTAGTGGTGGTTTTGAGGGGGTATGGGAAAGGGGACTCGTGCTTGTTTGCGAAAGGAGAGGAAGAAGAAAATGAGGGAGGAAGAAGAAGAAACATGATTAATTAGGGATTGAAAAAATAGCGACATATGTGATCTCCTTGTCGATCTATCACTAATTAGTGATGAACACTTACGTGAATCGCTAATCTATCAAAAAATAGATGGCTAATTGATTGCAATTGGCCTCACATTTTTTACATGTAGTGACGGACATAAGTGTCTATCTCCAATTCATCGCTAATTTAGTGGTTTTGATTTTCAAAAAGTCCATCCAATCTTTCAACTTTAGCAACGAGCTTTCGCATCACTAAATTGTGAGGGATATATCTTCTAGCGATGAATTCTATTGCTAAATCTAGACTTTGAAAATAGCTACGGATTAGGAATTTTATCGTTATTTTTCCTAGAAAATCCTTTTCTAAATCGTCTCTACAACTTTTGAAAATATTTTTCCACCAAAATTTAGCAATTGATTGGTTTCTGTCGCTACAAAACCATCACTATTTTGTTTCTAGTTACAAGAAACGCTATTATGTTACTATTTAGTGATGGAAGTTTATTCATTGCTAATTGATAGTTTTTTTTGTGGTGGATTAAACATAGATGGTTGATTACATAAAGGAAAGATAACCATCGCCCTTTAATATCCTATATGAGGTAGGTCTGTGATACATGCTATTTCTAAACACCTATTTCTAGATCTTATTATGCTAAAATCAATGTCTATTTGAGTGTGTTTGTCATCAAGTTTAAAGTTATTTAATCAAGTGATTTGGAACTTGACAAATCAAAGGCCCTATTGTAAAAATAGAGTAATTGAGTATTGAACTAGAGGGAAATACATATGGGATGAAACTTGATCAAATGGACTTAAAAACCCTTACTCACCATATATATATATATATAAACCCAAAATAAAACCCACAACTTGATTGAAATATGAAATGAGAAATCATGAATTTGTTTAAAATACATGACATAAAAGATTATGATTTTAATTAAAATGCATAACATGCAAGATCATAATTTTGGTTAAAATCCATGCCATGAAAGACCACCTAAGAATATGTGACACGAAAAACTATGATTTTGATTTAAATACTTAACATGAAAGATCGTGTATGAATAAGTAACACAACTTTGATTAAAATATGTGATATGAAACACTATGTATGAATGCATGAGATGAAAGACTATGATTTTGATTAAAATTTATGGATGCATGACATGAATAACCATGATTTTGATTAAGATACATAATATGAAAGATCACGCATAAGTGCATGACATAAAAAACCATGAATTTGATTGAGATACATGACATAAAAGATTACGACTTTGACTCGGTTATGTGATACATACATACATATATATGACATAACCGTATGTGAATATGACATTGACATCACAAAATAATTTGTTCGATAAAAAGTGAAAGATAGAGTCGACGATAGAATCATAAAATCATTTTCATAAAATTCATCAATGAAAAATCAAGTTAAAGATGACAATACAAATAATTTTCATAAATTTTGTCTAAAAAAATCAAGTTCAAGACGACAATACAAATCATTTTCATAAAATTCATCAACAAGAATCAAGTTGAAGATGACAATACAAATCATTTTCATATAAATTATTTAACACAAATCGTTCCTCAATGAACAAAATTTAGCGGACAACCGCCTTACAAATTAATTTAACACAAATCATTCGACAAAGAATTAAAATCAACCTACAATGGCCCAACAAAGTCATTTAACACAAATCATTCGTCAACAAATAAAAATGAGCCAACAATGGCCTCATAAAATTATTTAACACAAATCATTTGTCAATAAACAAAAATTGACCAACAAAGGTCTCACAAAATTGTTTAACACAAATTGCAAAATTTCAAAATCAATTAATCATGTTATCGTTAATGAATTGTCATTTTAACCATTGATTTAAGCTTAATCACACATAAACAATTCACATAATCATCGTCACACCTGGGATCGACACTCATCTCTCGATAATCTATGAAATTAAATCTCATCCTTATCCTCCCAAATCCTTCATGAAGTATTGAATCCATCCTTATCTCTCCTTAATATGCCCGATGATTTTGGACTCCTTAACTTTAACATGCAATGATGTATCACAACACTTCAAAATTATTCATAATTTATCCATAAATATATAAAATATTTAACATAATTTGAAAAGTGATAAACGAGTCAAAACTAACCTAAACATTGATGAAAATGACTAAATTACATATGGACAATCTCCGAAAGTTATCTTTTTGCCCTTGGACAAGATTGGAATCACCACAATGCCTATGGTGCATGTTTGTCATGTGTCGCTCAAATTTACAAATGCCGATATTATGAGTAGTTTCATACCAGCTTTTGTTCAAACACTTTCCGACCTCTCGTTTGGTATGTGCTTAGTCGAATAGATTGTTTTTGTCTTTTTTAACTCCCTAAGAAAGCTATGTTTGACACATCCATTCATAGAAGAAGGAACGACAACTGCAACTTCGTTGTCTTCCTTTTTTCTCCAAGCCGAATTAGCCAAAAATAGTTGGTTTCAAAGCTTGTAATTGGTCGTAATCGGAAGTCACAATTGCCATTCCTCCCTCTCCAGTTGGTTGTGTCCAACATTAGCTTTCATCAAAGAGTTGTAGAGAACGAGAGTAATCTATTCCGATCGAGCAAGTACCAAAAAAGGTCAAAAAGCGTTCGAACAAAAGCTAGAACAAAAATAATCATAATCGTAATTTTTGTAAATTGAGTAGCAAGTGACAAACACACGTAATGGGCATTTTAGGGAATCTAAGGTTGTTTAAGAGGAAAATGGTAACTTTCTAAGGCTATCCAAGGATAATTTAGTCATTTTATTGACTTTTTGGGTTCGTTTCGATTCTTTTATCACTCTTCAAATTGTGTTAAACATTTTGTATTTCTTATTAAATGATTTTTATGAAATGATTTGTGTTGTTGTCTTCGACTTGATTTTTATTGACAAATTGTATAAAAATAATTTGCATTGTCATCTTTAACTTTTTTTTTTGACGAATTTTATGAAAATGGTTTGTATGATCGTCTTCGACTTGATGTTTTGTTGATGAAGTTTATAAAATAATTTGTGTTATCGTCTTTGACTTGATTTTTCGTTAACGAATTTTATGAAAGTAATTTTGTGATATTGTTATCGACTCGTCCTTTGCTCGTTGTCGAACAATTTATCTTTTTAATGATTTTGGAATGTTAATGTTGTATTCACACGTGATCTTTCATGTCACATATCTCAATCAAAGTCCTAGTCTTTCATTTTAACCATCCTTACGTGATCTTTCATATCATGTATTTTAATCAAAATTGTGATTTTTCATGTCAAGCTTTCATATTTGGTCTTTCAAGTCACGTATTTTAATCAAAATCATGGTCTTTCATATCATGCATTCTTACGTTGTCTTTCATGTCGGATATTTTAAATTAAAATCATGATCTTTTATGTTACATATTTTAAATCAAAATCGTAATCTTTCATGTAACATATTTTAATCAAAGTCATTATCTTACATGTCATATATTTTAATCAAAGTCGTAATCTATTATGTCACATAGTTTAAACAAAATCATGAGTTCTCGTTTTACGTTTCTAATCAAGTTGTGGGCTATATTTGGTTTTTTCTTATATGTGTGAGTAAAGGCTTTCAAACTCATTCGACCGTTTGATCTAGTTTCATCCCATATTTATTTTCTTCGAGTTCAATACCGAATTATTCTAGAACGAGAATAAGATCTTTGATCAGTCACATTTCAAATCACTTGATTGACTAGTTTAAATTTGATGGCAAACCCACTCAAATAGGTATAGAAAATTTACCATGATATTAAAAAAAAAAAAAAAAATTAAGTTTTTAAAACAGCATGCGATTCAGCCACTTTCAAGTAGGAAATTGAAGAGGATGGTTATCTTTCTTCCATGTAACCAACCTATTTAGCTATGAACTCAAAATTAACCACTTATTTAGATCTGTGATCTCTAAATTGTCCAGTCATAAAAGTTATTTAGTTATTTTTAATACTAAATGACGATTTTTATTTATTTTTAGCATCTTTATAATAATAATAATATGATAATATTATCCAAAGTTTAGATAATTGCATCTTGGACGGCGTTTTACATCTTTAGCGGGATGACATCTAATGGACGAAAGGGAAAATTTGCATCCTTGAATTCTCCTACCCACATTGCAAATCCATCTTGAGCGTTAAGTTTGTCCCTGGCCCTAGAAGAAACAAAAATTTGACCAGACTCAACTTTGATGTCTGGTACCAAATGTTAAAATTTGGTGTCCCCTAACTGAACCTGCATTAAAATTCGTTCGATTTTCTGAAGCCATGAGTCACGAATATCATATTCCTCGTACAAAACTTCTTGTTGAACCATGATTTTAACATGCAAACACTTGGGAGTGGCAGCAGCTAAATATAGCAAACAGTAGTTGCATGTCTTGAGTTTCGACCTAACAGCACCTTTCCTTCAAGATCCAACTACTCGTTAATCTTTATAAACAGACCTTGTCTCGTGGAATGATTGACCGTAAAAATAAATTTGAGAATCCCAGTTTAGAAGTAAAAAAAACAAAAATAAATCTGACGAAAATCCAAGGAAATTTCCAGCACTTAAAAGAAATGCATCAGAGCTACAAGATTTCTAATAACCAAACAGGAAAAGATCACAATACCAAGCAAAAATCCACCTAATCCAGTCGCTATGTTGTGACTAGTACAGTCTAGAGGATGGATCCAGACAAAACACACCTTGGGATTTCTCATAACCACTACAGAAAATAATCACGATGGGAAAAGCAGGATCATACCTAAGGCAGCAGCTAGCATAATTTGATTAGTGGAGGATGGTCCAAGCACAGTGGGCCTTAGTGACAGGCAGTAGACGTAAATTGGCTCTCAAATCTATCATTGTCAGAGCTAAAAGGAAACACAGGATAGGGCACAAACCTTTATTTATCTTCAAGTAACACAGGCAAATGCGAAATGGAAATATATATAAATTCCATCCTGCTGAAAACACAAGTTCACTTTCATCAAGGAATCAGCATTCCTCGTGTCCTTCCCACCTCCTCCATTACATGCCTTGCGAGTTTCAATTACATAGCTAAAATACTGTCTTATAAGTTTGTTTTACACATGCGTACTGGATAAAAATCCTTGTTAGCAACATAAAAGAACTCGTTTTGCCATCCGCTATAGCTACTGCTATAGCATCATATTCAATTTTTAGGACCAATGTCCTTAAGGGCACAGATCTGCTCCTCTCCCATGGCAGACATGACAGTCACCACAAGGTCCTTCCCTTCACCAAACCCATCTTTAATCTATATACACAAAATAACAAACACAATTTCAGGTTTCAGAATGAAAACCAACTAGAGACTATGGAAACAGACAAAGGCTCCACAAGAACTAATGCACATGCAAGTCAAGCCACTAAGCATGCACCAGAAAAAAAGAATGTGTAAAATACCTGACTAAGCAGATTGTCATCGGTGGGAAGCCTCAGATCATCCTTGGTGTTTCCATTTTCAGTCAAAAGACTAACCTACATGATGTTAAACACGAATTGGTTAAGTCACTCTGTTTAGATGAACAAAACTTTTAAAAAAGGACAGACCAACCCAATTGGAAACCATTGCTTTTGCCACTTTCTCTTCTGTCTAGTGTTCTAAGCATTCCTTGAAGAGACACGATATTTAGTATGCATCAGAACAATGGCTGATATTAAGACTTCCACTTTTGAATTTAGCAGTTTATGATTCCCGTTTTGGTTGAATTTACGCCATAGCACCTTCCGGACTCAAGTAGTTTAGCACTCTACATCAAATTTTAAATTCCAAGCCCCTCATACATGGAGATTCATACAGTGGTTTTTTCAGTTAAAATTATTCATAACGGAAATGGATGTAATAGATTATAGGTGGAAATTCCCAACTTGCCCATTAAACAGATAAGACAGCCAATCTAGCATTCAGCTCAAAACAGAATTCACTTGAGCAAACATTGGAAAGTATAAACTTACAAAACCATCTTCAGAGATATCAATCAGCTGATAATCAGTACGATTAACATGGGGAACCTGCAAAGCAGAAATTTATCAGAACAAGACCAAAGGGACTTTTGTAAGAAGGAAAGAAAATGAATAAAATGTGAGTTCAGCAAGAGTATTACATCACAGTTGTGAGATGAAGGAACAATATCTTCAAGCTTTTTCCCATTAAATATATCAATTCCCACAAAGTGGCACTTAGCATGTCCATGCTTGCCAGTCTTTGAGGTGGAAACCTCAACAACCTGTTATTTTTCAAAAGAAAGCAACATGAAAAAGACAAAGAAATGAAAAGAGTTTGTGAATTGTGAAGATTGGAAAATTGACACCGCTAAGGCATCACAATACACACAAATAAGAAAATTTCCAATAATGCCACCTCTTCTTTCAATAACATTTCTCATAATAAGATATAAAGCCATACTACAGACCGAGCCCAAAGCCCTACCATTTTCAGTTGTTTCATTCTAGCTAAGGTGTGATGGTTTCTTATAGCTACTTATAACTATATGTGCTGCCATCTGAGCCAACCAAAGAGAGCACCACCACATATCTAAATAATCCACTAATACACACCTATTGGTATTGATATTTTTATTCAAATTTGCAGACATGCATACTAGATAATTTTTTTGAAGGATGTCTCGCTAGAGACTAAATTGCCGCACTCATACAAAGACATAACAACATTTACAGAGCAGCAATTTCACACATCTGAGTCCAGAATGACATTCAATCTATGTTTGGTCAAGATGGAGGACCATTATTATTGTTGGAATAATGATAATACCAATCAACAACTGTCTCACTGCAGGCTCAAACCCATACCTCATTGCAGCACTTACATATATGTTATTGGGGATATTCAGGAAGCTCATGATCTAGGGTTATATAGATTACTGCAAGTTTTTTTTTTTTTTTTTACCCCCAAATTCTGGAACTTCAGGGGTTGTCAAGAAGTTGAAAGATTTAACGAATATCAGAACTAAAACAATGGTAAAAGCAACAAAAATGACAAAACTCTACTGTAATAAGCTGAAATTATACTTGTATGCCTCAAAGTTTCAGTCTTCTGATACAAATACTCCTATACTATTTTTTTCAGAGAGGGGAATGGATCACTTGCATTTATAATTTTTAGACATTTGCATCTTTACTTTCATGAAAAGTCTCTATCATTACAGCTAATCTTGTAGTGCATAGAAACAGAAAAACACACTCGTATATGGTCAATGGTTGCACTCTATCAAATTTACTAAACGGCATGGCAAGATGGAGCAAAATTACTTCATGCTATCCTTGGGACAACCCGTATATTTTCTGTTGATAATTATTTGCGTGGATTGTCGGATACTAAAGTAACAAAACCAAAGAAGACTCAAGGGCATCACACGTGCACCCTTGTGAAAGTTTTTAATACGCTAACTCCAACTGTCTGAAATCTTGACATCAACCTTTAAAATTAACATTAAAATGCGCACACACGCATGACAGAGCCACACATAGACATGCTTAAAAAATTGCAAACTTTTAGACATGAAACCCTAACACGAGAAGAATAAATCTCAGGATACACAATCAACATCAAAATCAACTTTTTTTTTTTGTTGAAAGGAGGGAATCCTCAGACCAGTTTGGTAGTCAACCGAGACCAAGTCGGAAGTCAAGGAAAGGAGCAAACCTCCTTAACCATTAGGCCAACCCCTTAGGATTAAAATCAACCTTTTTGTAAGGTACACAGATTTAATTAATTTTCAACAAAAATCCAAACACTAAACTTGCTAAGACTAACGTCTTGAAAAAAAAAATCAACTTTATCAAATTAAAAAGAACCCATAAGAGATCTGGTAAAAACAACAAAAGCCCAGATAGAAATCCATAACAATAGGATAAAAAGACAATCAGAACACAGAGACAGACCTTGCAAGGGCGGTTCTTGATGACTATATAGCCATTCTTGCGGATAGTACCAGCTTGTTGGGGGTAAGTCTTAGAGGCTCCAGCATCAGCCTTTGATTCAAAGTGGTGCTCCTCGTCCGACATGTTGCTTTGGCTTGGTTTGGTTCTCTCTCGAGCGAGCACAAAAAAAGAAAACTAATTGAAGAGGATGATGACTTCTAGAGACAGAAGAGGACACCACCACTTCTATTTTATGCCTTGATATAGATAGATAGATAGGGAATGAGAGAGACTTTTGAGTTTGAGACAACACCTTCTTCTTAACCCTGGTTTGTGTTTTTCTTCAATCTTGGCCGTTGGATTCTTTCCTTGAGTTTAGATTAAGCTTAGCTTCCCAAGCTGTTTTTTATCTTCCAAATTTTGAATTTTTTTTGTTTAATTAATATAGTAATATAATGGTTTTATAAAAATAACAGTGATAATTCCAAAAACTTATTCTAATGCTCGAAGGCTGAGTCACACATAAAATTCTTCATTATAATTTTCTTATAATTATGAATGCAATTTTAGCAAAACAATATTTATTTATTTGTGAACATGAACTATCAATAATTCTGAAAATTGGGATCGATTGCTTCTCAAAAAAGTTGTGTGATTGATAGAATGAATTTTTCATATTGATAAAAGTAATTTTTTTTTTGCAAATATTATTTATTGATTAATTCGTACGTAGGAGGATCAGTCTCCAGATAATGCCTTTTAAAACTTTTTATCTACGATGATTAATTCGTAATAGGAAATATGGAACCTTTTTTATCTCTTCATGGATTGAAAGGTTCGTCAAAAGGATACAGAAAATAAAAAAATAAAAAAAAGTTGAAAGAAATTAATTTTTGAAAGGAAAAGTAGAGAGACATGGGTGGCCCTTCTATTTTCTCGACTTTTCAATTGTTGACCAAAGAATTTCCCTTTTTTTGTTTTTTCTCTCTTGTAACTTTCCTATTCCTTTCTATTAAATTTTTTTTTATTATTATTTTCTCGTAATTTGGATGGGATGCTTTCTCAACTTATTTTCCAAAAGCAAGATCGTCTTCTTTTGGATATTTCATTCCTAATGGAGAATATTTCCTATTTAATTTTGTTTACGCCATCTTTTATTTATTTATTTACATATAATAGTGTAGTTTCGAATTAACAGTCACGTCAATTAAAATTAAATTTATTAATTTTAATTATTTGCTAGACATTTTTTAAGCCAAACTATCTCAAATTTAACGTTATTAAAAAATAATTATGTACAATCTCTTTTATTCTATAAAGCAGCATATGATGCTGAGTGGAGAGGCTATGGGTCCCACGTGGCACATATTCTCAGAATACAAATCTTTGATCCTTAGGACGAGCTGTTGCATATCAATTTTATTATTATTTTTTTAAATTAAGCGTTTCTTTTGTAATTAAGAAATAATTTTTTTGGGGGATTGATGGAAAGTGATGATCCAAAGATTAACAAACACATGGAATGATGGTTATTGTGAACTTGAAAAGGAAGGATAAACATATTTTCCCCCCAACTTTCTCCTGCTGTCATCGAAATTCAAACAGTCTAATAGTTTGCTGTAATTATCACGAGAAAAATATTTCATGTAATCCACGTTGAAGATTGCAAACTTTTTGGACTTTAATCTGAAAAAAGGCAGAATTATATATATGGTGATAAACTAGCGCAAGAGATAATTACCTGAGAAATTTAGAATTTTAAATTAAAAAAAAAAGGGTGCCCAAGCTTTCAAAATTGACTAGCGGGTTGGACTCGCATAATAATTATCGCATGAACAGGTAGATTCTCAGTACTGCCTTTAATTTAATACCAAACAATGCCTTTGGTTTTAAGGTGGCTTCAGTTTTTTTTTTTTTTCATCTTTTTATTATAAAGTCGTTAGTTATGAACTGACGTGATGTATTTATTTTTAAAAACATAACACATATTATACATGAGAATTTAATAGAGATATTCAATCAAAATAATTCAAATAATACAAAGATTAATTATTTTTTCAAAATTTCAGCTCATAACTAGCAATATTATAACAGAAGAATAAAAATAAAATAAAATAAAAAATAAAAAGACTTAATCAACATGAATAATAATTCATGATTTCAATCGAATTAATTGTAAAAGCAAAATAAAAAAAATCATATAGGAGCAAAACTTCATTATTAAATGAATGTAAACTTATTAAAATTTAAAGTATTGTATCGGAAGAAAATCCACTCGATTTTAGCATTTCTTTTTTTCCTTAAATTTGATTGCAGATGAGGATGGTTTGGATTTGATGTTGATACATTGAGCAAGCAAAGAGAATAGTAGAATAAAATTTTTACTTTAAAGTTTTATGTTTTTAAATTGCTTAAACTGTAAAAAATGGAAAGAGAGTTGATACTTTGGGAAGTTGGACTATGCTGTCCAGCCCAAAACCTATATCGTTAGGGAAAAAAAAATCATTTTTTTTCAAGTCATATAATGGGTATATTATAGAAATTCAAATCCATAAAAGTGAGTTTATTAAATTCAATTTCACCGCAAGGAAACTGATGGCAAATGAACTTGTCAGAACAAAGAAAGTATTGGGAGAAATTAGTAAGATTTAAAAAATCGAGGACTGATCTATTAATGGTTATATAGGTTGGGAGCTGATCTGCAGTATCCCAAGGAAAAATTTAGAGGGAGTGAGCTTAGACAATACGATGGCAAAAGGCTATATACACTCCAGCTAAAGCAGGACAACTGCTTACTGATAAGATAAAAAACCTGACAGTACGAACTACAAGATGAAAGAGACCTCTACGTGTAAGCCTCTAAGGTATCGATAAGAGGACGATGAAGTTAGTCTAAAATAACTAAAAGCTGAGCTAGGAGGGCCTGCTAGAGGATTTGATAATACAGAAAATAACATTAACAGGACAATTAATAATTAATGACGACACAGACAAATCTCTGAAAACTAGAAAAAGGACAGGGCTTTTTCACATAGAAACAAAAAGTACGTTGTCAAATAACATGCATTATTGGTACGGTAATTCTGTTCCTGCATTATATGGTTTATAAAACTGAAGATTTGAAAATCTGTATGCTTGCAGTTCTTATTAGGAAGGCAGAGATAGGTAAAAAAATTTGACCTAATAATACTAATTTCTTTTTTTATTATGATAGATTATTCTATATTTATTTCAAAACTTATTAAATTTTTCATTGAATGATAAAAAAAAACAGAAATAAAGTATTTCGAATATAATGCTAATAACATATAAAAAAAATTAGTAAGCTGAATATATATACTCCCTAAGTAAAAAAAAAAAAAAAAAAAATGAAAAAAAATGAAAAAGAGAGCTGAATACCACTACGAACAGCAACTTGAAGCATCCAGGAACATGATGAAGCTATGTTCTTTGAGGAGCAGCCAGGGGAAAGCAATAAGGAAACGTCAAAAATATTCCCATTGGACCAACCGACCAACTTAAAGTACCAGTTTAATCAAACAATCAATCATGTCCAACTTTTTTTAAAAAAAAAACATATATATTTTATTGATTGAACCTAACCTGACCATCAAAGAATTGATTTGAAGTCATTGAGACGTCTTTCTATAGCTAATGCACAGACAAACCTTACCAATATATGCAAGTAAAAGAAACTAGCAGTCCTTTGTCCATGATTTCTGGATCACGAAGATTGAGCATATCATTAACATCCCCCTCAAACTCAAGGCGGTAAGAACTCAGACAGTCGGAGTTTGCAAACAAGATCACAAAATCGATGATTCGGATGAGCTTTGATGAATAAGTCTGCGGTCTGATTTTGAGAGGAGACTGAAACAAGATGGATAGTGCCTCGGTCGACATAATGGCGTACAAAGTGACAATCAATCTCAATATGTTTTGTACGTTCATGGAAAACGTCATTGTGAGCAATTTGAATGACACTACGATTGTCACAATAAAGTGATGTAGCAGAAGTTTGTTGAATGCCCATATCTTGAAGCAACCAACGAAGCCATAGAAGCTCGAAGTTGTGTCCGTAAGAGCTCGATATTCAGCTTCGTACTAGAACGTGAAGCAATAGTTTGCTTTTTGCTACACCAAGATATAAAAGAGTCACCAAGGAAGAAACAATAACCGAGTAGTAGAGCGTCGATCGGTTGGATCACCAGCCCAATCAGCATCGAGTAAGCTTGTAAAACAAGAGATGAAGATCCGGAGTAATAAAGTCCATGAAATAAGGTGCTCTTGATGTAACGAAGAATGCGAAGAACGAGCAGCATAATGAGTGGTGCGAGGAGCCGTCATAAACCGACCGACAATATGAACCGCATATGCTATGTCCGGACGAGTAATAGTAAGATAGATAAGACCGCCCACTAGTTGACGATAGAGAGTACCGTCACTAAAAGGAGAACCGTCGGAGGTTGAGAAATGAGCATTTGCCTCGATAGGAGTACTAGCAGCTTTATCATCGGTAAGTCCCGCACGAGAGATAAGATCACTAGCATTTTGGCTTGTGACAAGTAGTACCTCGAAGAATTAGAAGAAACTTCAAGACCTAGAAAATAACTTAGATGACCAAGATCTTTTATTTCAAACTGCCGGTCGAGAAAAGCCTTCAAATGATTAATGTCATGTAGATCCTCTCCAGTAATAATCATATCATCAACATATAATAATAAAATAATACTCCCTTTGGTTGTTTTGCGAATAAAGAGTGCATGATCATAAGTGGTTAGACCGAAAACCGATCCGGCAAATAGTGGAGCCGAATTTAGAGAACCAAGCACGAGGGGCTTGTTTGAGCCCATACAAAGCCTTACGAAGACGACATACTTTATTTGGAGGGTGATCATAACCTAGAGGAGGTTGTATATAAACTTCTTCCGTGAGATCACCATTGAGGAAGGCATTTTTCACATCCATCCGAAACAAAGACCAATGTTTAGTAGCTACAATGGCAATAAGACTACGAACGAAGTAATTCGAGCCACTGGAGCAAAAGTTTCTTCATAATCAATCCCATATTCCCGTGTAAAGCCTTTTGCAACTAGGCGAGCTTTATATCTTTCCATAGAGCCATCGACTTTGGTCTTAATTTT